ATTACTGTGTTATTAATGTAAATGAACGTGAAAGAGTTAATTATATAAATGACTTTAATATTAAATTAAATGAACGTGACTCTCTACAATAATATGATATCGTCCTGTTTGAGCATAAATTCTCATAACTTTGTTTTCGGTTTTCTTAAAATGTTTCGTACCAATGGAGAGTGTATTATTCGATTATAAACTCATGATCATTCCCTAAATTAACTGATGTAGGATGCTTTCATCCAATCTTCCATGTCACATAAATGGTCTAATTTTAATATTATATTTACATTATTTTTAAGAATAATTTAAAATTTCAATTTTATACAAATTATTTATGAAATTAGATAATATGGGGATATGGGGATGGGAGACACGTCAGCAAAATAGTAGAAAAAAAAGGCAAATATTTGTTGGGGAAAAAAACAAAACAAACAGAATATATTAAATGCAAAATTTATTTGGATATGTTATTGGAATCCCCTGTTTTGAGGCGTTTTCGTTTTCTTTTGTTTGTTTATGCCCACTTTGCAGGCTCCGACAATATCCTCATTCATTTTCTTTTGTTGTATTTAAAGATAAGAATTTTGGATTATAATACAAAATCAATACTTTTTTTCAATATTAATTTATCTTATCATTTAATTGCCCACCTAATCTTTTTATTTTATTTTAATTAAGTGCCATTAATACAATTGGCTAAGATTAATGTTTATCTACAACCTGGATTGCACTCATCTTTTACCATCTAATTCAATTATATCAAAATTAAAAGTTTATTATATGATTAAATTAAATTTTTTATTTTTTTGTTTTAAAAAATTAAGTCTATGAAATATATGTATATAATAATTTAATAATATAGTACTTTTCCTAATATTCCAATCAATGATTTCAGAATAAAATTAATTAAGAATTTTAAAAAGTGAATAAGTTAAAAGTTAAAGAGAAAAGGGTGAGAGTGAAGAAATCCAAACCACCATTTTTAATGTAATAAACGTTTTTTTTTTAAAAGAAATAAACAAAATTAAAATTAAAAGGTTTTTAAGAAGTCAAACGCCGGCGATTAAAGTATTTGAACAACTTTGATGACGTGTTAAGGAATGCCGGCAATGTTTAAATACTTCATTAATAAAAATTGGGAGAATATAAAATATAATTTTTGAAAATATTCATTAAAATTCATTTGAAAATATAATTTTTTTTTAATATTTCACTGTCTTGTTTTGATTAAAATCCATTTTTAATATGAAAATTTACTTTAGAATATGAAAATTCAAGCACTAATTTTTTTTAATTAGTCCAAAATAATATTTATTTTTTAAAATAATTTTAATTCTTTATTTTATACTTGCAAATATTATTTCCATATTATTAAATTTGAATAAACAATTACTTTTTTTCGACATTTTGCATATTGATTTTCAAACTTTAAATTTTTATTTTTCTATTTTTCTGTGTTAACGTGAGTACAATTGATTGTAATTATAATTATAATTACAATGTATTTCGTTTGAAGGTTGAAATTCCGTCCATACCCTCCTGTCTAGGTTAAAATTGGAAGGGAGTAATATTCCTTGTCTTGTTGACATGAATATGAGGTCCAAATTGTATAAGCAATAAATATAAACAAACTTCCTTTTGAAAAAAAAAATATACAAAAAAAATTGTTTATAAAATAATTTAAAATGTGAAAGTCAGAAGAAAGTAGGATCACACACGCAAGATAAAATAATAATAATAATTAAAAGAGTGCATTAATTGAAGAAAACTTAATTCGTAAATGTTAAGCTATAGTTCGGGTGATTGTTGGATTAAATTACATATTTAATTTTTAAATTTTGAAGTCAAATATATTTGGTTTTAAAATTTTTAAAATTATAAATTTAATTTGAACTTAATTTTTATTACATAATTTCATTAAATATATTAAAATTTTGAAGGTTATTATTATTTTTTCTAATTATTCAATAAAATCCAAAAAATAGTCGATAACTATTCAAATTTGTAATTTAACTAATTTTAATCAACTTTTAAAAAGTTTATTAAACACAAATTAATTGGTTTTTATTTAAAATAATAGTATTTATTAAATAAAATTTATAAAACAAATATTTTATTTAATATGTTAAAATATAAATTATGAAGAAAGGTTAAAAAGAATAAAGTGAAGGCAGAGATAAAGGAGGGAAAATAATTGGAGTATTATTATTATTGTAATTATTTAAGCAGCTTTGCCTTTTTTTCCCAATAGCTACTCACTTGAGCTTTTAAAAGTCATAGCAACTGTGAGCTAAGCCCTTCTGCAACCTCAAAGGAAAACCATGCTTTGTCCCAACTTTTCAACAGATTCTTTCCCCTTTTTCCCTAATTATTAAAATATTATACAATGTCTATATATATATATATATATATAGGTTTATGTGTACATCTATAGGTTTTTAAGTCTCGAAAAAATTAAAATCTTTCTTATCAGATAATCATAATCGATAAGATGTTTGGTGATAGAAATATGAACTCTTAATCATTCAAAGGAATCTTTAACGTGCAAGTACACTAAATCTTCTTGTTACACTCAGATAGGGAGAATTTACTTCGTGTCCGGAATGATGAATATTTGTGAGGCCCCACATTAATCGGAGGAAGAATAAAGCATTCCTTATAAGGGTGTGTTTAAAACTATGAGGCTGACAACGATATGTAATGAGCCAAAATAGACAATATCTACTAACAATGGACTTGCACTATTACAAATGGTATTAGAGCCACGCTAGTCCCCTAGGAGGGTAGTTGCAGGGGAAACGAAACATTCCTTATAAGGACGTGGAAGTCTCTCCCTAAAAGGCGCGTTTTAAAATTGTGAGGCTGATGACGATTCGTAACGAGTCAAAACGAACAATATTTGCTAGATATTTTTGGTATTTGAATTATTGCGAACAGGTCATCATGCATCCCTTTAAACCCTATCTCGAGTTATAGTTCAACTTCAAAAGTAATATTAATGAGGTAAGAGTTAGGCATTCAAGCTTGTAGAGAAAGCAAACTATAAATAATACAAGCAAGTATGAAGCAAAAGTGCCTTAGTGATGAATGACACAAAATGGGTATGATAATTTCTTAGGTTATCCCCCACATCACTCTTCCTCTATTGGCCTCCTTGGTTCAAGTCTATATATGGTTTTAACTCTTAACATTCCTGCTTTTTTTATTCTTATGCCTGTCTTCCGTTTACATTGCTGTAAAAAAGTGAAAAAAAAAAAAAAAAAGTTAAAAGTACGAAGTGTACGCTACACAATTCACTAAAATATTTGTTCAGAGAGCCTGACATAAAGGAACGGATAGTTAGAGTCAGTTTTATCTGAATCCAGATTGATTGTGAGAATGTTTGCATAGTCCACTACACCGGTGAAAATTATCTATTTATATGGTAAATTATAATTTAGTATTAAATATCCTTAGTATATACGCACGTGAATTCTAAATTATTATTATTATTATTTCAAAAAAGGGCGAAGTAAATTGGCCCAGTTGAGGAAAAGAAATAGAGGGAGAGGTGGCAAGGCCACGTTTGGTTGTCTCCATGAGTGGGTAGCAGTCTACACATGGCATTGCTTAAGCATTTTTCCCCACTTCTTCTTGTAACCTTCAAAACTTGTGCCATTCTTACAAATATGTTCTATCCTTCTTTTCCTTCCACTCTACTTTTTCTTTCTTTTATCTATCATATATCTTCCTCCATGTGGGTATCTATTCAATTATATACATCAACCCTTCCATCTCCCATCAAACTACAACAATAAAGTTTCCTTTTGTGAAAAGAATTCGGCTTTTCCGTCTTATCGATAAGCTTTCTACTCGTAAATTAACCTAATTATTGAAGTGACGGGTGGCTTTAAAAGTAAATTTTTGTACGTCTAAGTTAATAAGTTGAGTCAGTGTTCAATAGATTGATGGGTTAAGTTTGGCTTCAATCTATCAACTCGGTTGATGCACGTTTATTTCAAGTTACTAGCTTGTTGATTTCACGACACTTTGATACCACTTGTCACAATCGCACTCTTGATGGCAGTGGACTTGCGATTGTGCGGCACTCACTTTCCAACGACAAGTGAGATAAGTCAATTCGTTCTTACGTCGCCTATGGTCAAGCGACGTATGCTCGAGCTTCTGACCTCGGTTTAAGAGAAGGTTTTAGAAAACGAGGGCAGAGAGAGATTTTGAAAGAGACGTTATATAAGCAAGTAAAAGAGTAACAATAACGGCTCACAGTATATAACATTGGGCAGGGATCTATAATTGAGATTTTATCTTTATATTTTTTTTTATATAAATGTTTGTCTAGCATTGTTATGAGATGTGGAGTTATTGTCATTTTGTGTTTATCTAGAGGCTATTAGGAGAAACTGTGTAAGAGAGATCTCGTACTGTGAGACAGTGAGATTTTGCAAACACTTTAGTTATAATGATTGTCTCTCACCCGTAGATCCCGAACCATTAAAACAAAATTGTCTATGGGGATGACGGAAGGCATAAGGATTATCAAAAAAAAAAATTTGAATATTGAAAATGGGTTGGCGCGAAGAACAAAGAGGACGGTCCAATCCATATCAGAAGAGTGGACCCGGTTCGGTAAATAATTGAGAAAAACGTCAGCTTAATGGCCCATATCCCTCTTTTTTTCAAAACTTTCCCCATTTTCCCGCCTACTTTTATTAATGTTTATCTATTCTAATATTTATTATATATTTTCTATAAAATAAAAATTATTTTTTAATTTTGTGTTGAATAAAATTTCAAATTAATATTATTTTTATTTTAAAAAATTAAAGACATAATTCAGAAACTAAATTGAATTATTATTATTATTTTTTGTCTACATTTATTGAACTAATACTAACAATAAGGTTAAAAAAGTAATTTTCGTCCTTAAATTTGTAAATTTATTCGATATAATAAGTTAAATTTGTAATCTGAGTTAATAAATAGATTAACGAAGAGGCGGTAAGATGAGAAAAAGGGTGATTTTGAAAAATGGAATCTGAGTTGTTCTCGTTATTTCCACCGTTTTGATTATCAAGTGTCATTTAGTCTCCTGTCTCTACGCTCCCTGTTACTGTAATCTGTTCTTGTTCTTTCAAAAAATTTCTCATTGTCCTCTACGTTTCTTCGCTCTCGATCTGCCCCCACTTTCCCGCAATCAATCACACTTGCTTTTCAACTTTCCGACTTACGATTGAGTTCCAGATCTCTTTGTGCTCTTCATCAACTTCGAAGTTCATCAGGTACTGCCTCCTCTGCTTTACTTTTTCTAATTTGTTTCAAGGATTGGTTCGGCTTGTGTGTTGTTTTTTGGATTTGGTGTTGTTTTGGAGTAGATTTTTTGGTGATTGCTTTAACCTGCGAAGACTCCTTTTGGTTTGGGTGATCTTGATGAAATTAATTTCAGATGTGTAGTTTTGTTGATGGATTCTGCATATTTGATTGTACTTTTAAATTTATAGCTGTGTTTGCTTAATTGTTACTATATCCATGAAGGAATTGTTCAAGGCTCTTCTTCGAACTCTGTGTTGAATGTATTTTCCTGATTGAAGGATTTCCTGCAGATTCTTCGATCGTGCTTGTGTTCGTATGGAAAATCCGGAATTGAAGAATCTGAAACCATTTTGGCCTGAGGCTGACATTCAGAACAGATCTAAATGGCTATCAGTTAGTCTTGAAGGTAAGCAGTATTTATGATCGAATTTTCTGGTTCCTTGTCCAAGCCTAACGCAATAAGCCTTCGTTCTTTAGTGGTAGGAAATGTTATCAGCTCAAATCGGTTTCTACATGTGCAGAACCTTCTTCTATTACTTTTCTCGTTGTCACTAAGATTGATTTGTGTTCTATAATTTTGGAAATAATGAAAACAATCAGAGAGCTTTTCTCTCGCAGAAATGAATCGGAGTGTCGAGCAGATGCTGAAGACGATCAAAGATAATTGTGACAACTTCCCGAAAAGCGCTGATATGGATTCACAAGTCGAGGAGTTCTCCCGCTTGTATCAATCGTTGCTTGAAAATCTGTTGTCGCCGGAGCTACAACCGCAGGTGCCTTTCTATTCTGATTGTGGATCGCCTCAATGTACTCCGGAATTAAGTTCGGACCAAAAACAGGGTTTCAATTTGTCCTGCAATAGAGGCTTGGACATCTCTTTAGATTCCGGTGGTGGTAGCTCCAGTCTTTCTCTGAAGGATGGAACTGGATCTTCTTCTTCTTCATCGGACTCCGAGTCAGAATCTTTCAGCTCATCTGTTGACAATAACTATGTGGTTTCACGGGCTGAAAGAGATGGCCAAGGGCCAAAGAAAAAATTTCTTGGTCTAGAAACTGAGCTTTCAAACATTGAAGGGGCCTTTTGGGTGGGTGAGGAAGATAAGTTAAATTATCATGAGTTGCACGAAAAAATCGCCAGGATTGAGGAAGAACTAAAGGTTTCAAATGCAAAGCTTCAGTCATCTGAAAATGAGGTTGCTAGATTAAAGAGTGAGCTTGAAAAGAATGAAACAGCAATGTCGCTATCAGAAGGACTGCAGGCCCAGCTTGAGTCGGCTGAAAAAGACAAGCAAGAAATGGGGGCTGACCTTCAAGTGTTAAAAAGACGAGTTGTAGAATTGGAACAACAAATAGAACAATTGGAAACTCGGGTTTTGCAATCTGATTCCAAAATTGAGATATTGATTGAAGAGTTGGAAATGAGCAGAGAAATACTCAAAAGCTCAGATGACAAGATCGCAAGGCTCACGCATGAACTCGAGATTACAAAATCTGACCACCGTTTACAGATCAAGGAATTAGAATCAGCTTTTCAAGTGTCACAGGAGCTATTTAATGCTGAGAAAGAACAGGTGCAGGCTGATGTTCTCAGACAAGTTGAAGCTGATAAAACTGAAATGCGAGCTCTCCACAACTCTCATTTGACAAGTTTGCAAGGAGAAATTAGTCAGTTGAAGGAGGAACTTCTTGTAAAAAGCCAAAGTTTGTCAGCTTTGAATAGCAACCACGACGAACTAAAATTAAAATATGATATGCTAATGGCTGAGAAAGATGAGGCGACTGCCATGGTTCACACACTTGTAGCAGATAAAGAATACAGAGAATCTCATGTCCATGAATTGGAGAGCCACCTGCAACATCTACAAGAAGAGAAGGAGGGCTTGATTGCAGGATCTGAAAGCCAGAACAAACAAATCGATGATTTGAAATTGGGGCTCTCAGAGATGCAGGAAGAAGTGAATAGGCAAATGAATATGATAGAGGATGGGGCCGAGAGGAAAAGGGAGGCCATAAGGCAGCTCTGTTTCTCTTTGGAGCACTACAGGAGTGGCTATAAAGAGCTTCGTGAAGCATTCATTGGGCACAAACCACGCCAGGTACTCTCATAGGTCTGTTGCCAGTATAATCTTTAAACTTATTACCATGTCAGTTTTTTCTATTGTGCACTTTTATGAGTTTATGAGCAATATTATTCAGTTGATTTTTGAACATGGTTTAAGAATTGAATATTATGGTAAAATATTTAGCCCAGTTGTAAGGATGATGAATATTTGACGGCTTTGGTTTAAATCGAATGAGTACATTAAATTACAAACCACACACAAAATTGCCCTTGAGATATACAGGCAGATAAAATTTGATGTGAAAACTGCTACGTCTTAGTCAAATTAAGCTCGTGTTGTGGGGTGAAGAAGCCAACTTTTGGTGAGCCATTGAGGGGCTTCTCGAATTGCACAAAAACAGATTCCTCTGTGATGATCCAGTTCCCATCATCTGACTTCTCTGAAGATTTTGAACAACTCTAAAAAACAGAATACACAACATGAAGGAGAATTCAGTTAAATAACGATAACAAAATCAGAAAATCGTGTGGTTAAGCATAATTGTATAGTACAACCGTGGTACACAACTAGAACGATGAATAAGTAATGATAGATTACGAAAAATAACGTGTGAATGAATAATCTAAACCATCCCCACAAAAATAGCATGCAAGGCGAAAGTTAAAGTCATCAACCTTTGAGGTGGTAATTTGTATTTTATCGATCCAATTATGTTCGAATTGGTAGGAACAAATCATCATTTATTGGAGATATTGGTCAAATATAACTAAGAGCGAGCAAGTTCTCTCTTTTAAGTAGAGTGGGGTGTTGTGTGTGAATGAGGATAAATTGTAACAGCCTAAGCCAACTGTTAGTAGATATTGTTCTCTTTAGACTTTCCCTTCTAGGCTTCTCCAACGCATCTAATAGGGAGAGGTTTCTACGTCCTTATAAGGAATGTTCCCTTTCCAACCAATGTGAGATCTCACAATTCACCCCTGTTAGCACACCACCCGATGTTTATCTCTAATACTATTTCGTAACAGCCCAAGCCACCGTTAGCAGAGGAAAAGCCTAGAGGACAATATCTACTAGCGGTGGGCTTGGACTGATACATAAATGCATCACCAAAACAAGAAGTTATTTTCTTTATGAAAAAAAAAAGATATTAGTATTACTCCTCTATCGTCTCAAAAGTAGCTTAAAAACATTTTCCCCTTTTTTTCCTCCATAGAATAAGCCATTCCAAACAAGTCCTTCATCTACCTACTTTACTTTAGACTATAAAAAAAAGGAAAAGAGAACTCACTTCAGAACACGTATGTACCAAAAGCGTCATCCAGTTCCAAGTCTCCAGCAACTGTTTTTGACTTTCATCAGCTGCTTCCTGCAGAAAATATAGCAGTGGGGGCATTAGCTGCATTTCAAACTGCCTTGATCCACCACATGCCTTGCACTTCCCAGCTTCTCCGTCCTCAGCTCTAGCCAAAATCGGCTTCCCACCATACGAGTGTCTGAAAATACCGACAGGACAAAAGTTAAAAGAAAACGGTTTTATAAATATATCGATAGGTTGCGATCAACCTAATAATGTTAATAAATTAATGGGCTAAACTGTACACCAAAACTTGTACTCACAATCCATGGAAAACATAAGTCTAAATAATAAGATGATAAGAAAACAATAGATTACGGGAATATAATACCTGAAACATTGTTCTGGAGATGCATCCAATTTTTTCTTGAACTTGAGGTAAGTTCTATCAGCAGTAAGAGCCTGGTCATATTCGTAACCTTCTTCTGACCACTTTTCTTCTTCCGCATCACTTAGATTCTCCTTTATAGAGAGTGATGCATAATTGTTACAGATAGAAATATCCTTCGAAGATGGTTTGTCTTCCATATAGATATAAAAGCATGGTACCACTGCAAACGAACAGATGTGATACAACATTAAAACTGTTTCTAAATCCACAAATGAAACAAATAAATAGTGAAGTAAGAAGTGAACAACAGTGCTTGAGATTTTCAAATATGAGAGGGTGTAACCGCCCAAACCCACCGCTAGTAGATATTGTCCTCTTTGGGCTTTCCCTTCTGGACTTCCCTTCAAGGTTTTTAAAACGCGCCTACTAGGGAAAGGTTTCCACACACCCTTATAAGGAATGCTTCATTCTCCTCTCCAACTGATGTGGGATCTCATAATCCAACTCCATTGGCGGCTAGTGTCCTCACTAGCACAACGTCCCGTGTCTAACTCTGATACCAATTGTAACAACCCAAACCCACTGCTAGAAGATATTGTCCGCTTCGGACTTCCCCTCAAGGTGCTCAGTAACTTCCTTGGCCTTATAAGGGATCTCTTATCCCTTCCCAGTACCTCCTTAAAATCGCTCATTTCTAATATTTCTTGGTTTCTATCAAAAAGAATTGGATAATCCAATTACACTACACTGTCCTTGGTCAAGTTTATGCTCTGCAACAAAACCAGTTCTAAAACCAACGAAAGAAACTAAGCGACGAAGTTTGTAGAGAGTTTTCTTAGTGTCCAGACACCATACCTGGTGTTTTCACATCAACCACTCTTGCTGAGCTCAAATTCGAACTATTTGAGACAGTCTTTGAATGCAATTTACTAGGAGTTCTCTTGGCATGAGAAACTTCAGTTGCAACCTCTGAAAATGCCCTTTCTAGCTCCTCTAAATCCACTTCTTCATCGTTTTCGTCATCCAATTGCTCCCACCAGTTGGTCGTTGGAGCTGAAGTTGATGTTGTCAAAGGGCCAATTTCTTGAGAAACTTCGGAGAACTCCTGATCATGTGCCTTTTGAACACGAAGAACTCGCCAACTGCACACCCCAAGAGAGGAAAGCCAAAAGGCATATTAGAGCTATAATAACTGATACTCCATCAGCCAAATAGATTAGGGGAAAATTAACACTGACCCAAGTGAACTGCTCCCACATTCTGGAGTTAGACAACCAAAAACAAGGAGGAGACGCTCATCTATCCTTGTTCTTTCTATGGAAACTGGAGCATAAATCTTCAAGGAAGCACAACTACCATAACTATAACTACTTATATATATATATATAAGGGGAAAATATAAGTTACAAAATTTAAAAACATGAGATAAAATCACCTGTAAAACAAGGCATAATTTATTTCCACACTGAGAACAGTCTAGCAGAGTGGGATTGACATTTTGAAAAGGTAAGTCCTGTTGAAGCAATCATCAAATTTACTATTAAAAATATATACACACCCATACTTAAGGATATCATCTACACCAGCAACTTACAGGAAGCCCCCCAACTTTTGTAGTATAATGATCAGAGGCTTCAAGATTATCATCAGCCCAAGGCCCTGGAAAACCTAGAATCACTTCACCCATCGCTTACCTCTGCTAAACAATTAACAAAAAAACTCTTTGCTTCTTGATTTTCTTCTTCGAAGGTGAACAGAATAACCAACGTAAACCAAAAAAAGAAACAGAAGAAAAAATTAAAACCTCGGGTATCTAAAAGATGAGATGCGGCAGTGCTATCTCACCAACGGCGCGGGTTAGGGGCTGAGCCACTATGTTTCTGAGAAAGAAAACGACGATAAATAATTCTGATTGGTCGGAGAGGCGAGAGAATGTGAGAGGGAGGGAGCGGCGGCGATTTCGTCGGAAGGATGAGACTGCGGCAGCAAAAATTGCAGCGGCACGGCGTGCCGCGGAGCAGTGTGCAGCGGCTGGTAACAGAAGGGATGGGGCGGGTGAGAAGGGTTTAAGAGAAAAGGAAAGCTAGGATGGTTAAAATAATTTTAAAAAGAAATTAATTTAAGTTTAAATTTATTTTCAGATTCCATTTAATTTTTAACACAAAATTAGTTAAATAAAATCGTTTTTTTTCTCGAAAATAGTATTAAAGTTAACCCAAAAAATCACCTAATTTTTAAATAAATAGAGTAAATAGAGATGAAAAATGTATTGTATTTTTAGTTAGAAAGAATATTTGTAAATATTATTTTATTATTTTTATATTATTAATTTATATAAATTTAAAGTCAACATTACAACAGCTATGTAAATTTAATGTTTAATGTTTAATTTGATGAATTTAGAAGTAAAATTTAAAAATTCAAAATTATTAATTAAATTTATTTTATATCGATTTAATAGTCAATTTATTCCATTAATTTGGGTCCAAGGTTTCCATTTATTTATTTATTTATTATTATTATATTATTGAAGTAACAATAATTTAATTTTATCTCACACACTTCAAGCATGGCAAAATTTGTGGCTAAGCCACCAAGAATTCCAAACAATCGGTATCATTATTAAATAGCAACCGATTTTCCTCTCACAAGCTTATCAACAATTTTGGAAAACAACTAGGAGGTGGAGTGGTCCCCACGATGACGTCACCCATGTACAATCCCGAAAACACTTCATTTTGTAATATAATAATATTTTTTTAAGTCTACGAGGCAAATTTACTAATATCTTAGGCACGTGGCAGGAATCAATTGGATTCCCTTGGTCCAGTCAACCCCGATATTTTTTTCCCATTTTTTCCGTCTGAAAAGGAAAACGGCTCCGTCCTTTGACTTCAATCCCTCCCATAGAGCTTCTTCTTGTTCTTCTTTTGCTGCGGGATGGGCATTATTTGTCTCTTTCTCGGAGGGAATGATGAACTCAGGGCCTGGACTTATCTCTCCTTGAGGAACTGCGAGGATTTTGGAAATTTCGTTTTGGTTCGTCTTGTTCTTATGCTTTGCGTATAAGAAGAGAGTTTCATGCAAAATTTATCGTGCTCTCTGTTGTCCACAGGTTCTTATCTCTCTCTCTCTCTCTGCGAAATCTTCCGTTAACTATATTGTTTTGTGTTGGTCTCATCTACTGTACAGATTCCTGTTTGATTTTCCTCGATCTGGTCAATGTTCTTGGAGCGTGTTCTGTTTTTCAATTTCGGAATTGTTTGGATGGCGTGTTGTTTAATGGTTTTATTTGCTCTTTTATTCTCATTTCTTTCTGAATTTTGTGGATTCTCTTCTGCCTTGCTCATGTGTTGGAAATGAACTCGTCGTTGCTTTACTTGTTCTTGTCTCATTTTCTGAGCTAATGCTGTGTAATCCGAGAAGTAGGGATAATCTGATGGTTTGTGAAATTAGTGCTCATGTGGTGTTAAGATTGAATTGGTTATTGAAGGTTTGACTTCTCTTTATGATTTCTGATAGATTGAAATATCCTAAATTATCAAATATGAAATTGAACTTTTAGATTTGGTATGCGAAATGGTTTGGTGGTGATTTAAAACTTTTGTGTTCCTTTATAATTAAGTGAATGTTTAAATGCTTATGTGACTGCAGATTTATGGAAAGTCTTCATTTATTCCTGAGGTGTGGGCATTAGGTGTTTGGAGTGACCAGTGTTTTGAGCATTATGGCCACTGGATTGACTGCTAAAATTCGATTGGTTAAGTGTCCTAGATGTCATCGGCTTCTTCCGGAGTTGCCTGATATTCCTGTTTACAAATGTGGTGGATGTGATGCAATTCTTGTAGGTAAATACTCCTCCTGCATATCTAACAGATTAGGTAGCTTTCAGGGGAACTAACTAAAGCCACGACCTTTCATTTCCATTGTGCAAGTATGTTTCGGATTTTGATGCTTGAAGTTTGAAAGTTTTAGGAGAAGGGGGGAAAACGACTTTTATATAGGGCATTTTGTATGAACACGTCTCGAGTTCTTATATCTTTTCTATCTTTTGCATTTTTGTGAGATCCCACATCGGATGGAGAGGGGAACGAAGCATTTATTATAAGTGTGTGGAAACCTCTTCCTAGTAGTCACTTTTTAAAAATCTTGAGGGGAAGCCCAAAGAGGACAATATCGGCTACCGGTGGGCTTACAAATGGTATCAGAGCCCGACACTGAAGGAGAGGTGGATTGTGAGAACTTATCTCGATTGGAGAGGGGAACAAAACATTCTTTATAAGGGTGTGGAAACCTCTCCCTTTTTAAAAACCTTGAAGGGAAGTTCGAAAGGGAAAGTCTAAAGAGGACAATATCTGCTAGCGGTGGGCTTGGGCTGTTACAATTTTACCTACATGTGATAACTATTATTCTTTTTTGAATCTCTTGTCGATTTACCTTGATCCTTCTTGCAGCTAAAAGTCAAAGAGAGAGTTCTCACGACACGGAATTGGGCTCACAAAACAGGGATTCTGCCCAGAGGCGTGAAGTTGACCCCCTTTCTGTGGAGAGGCAGCCTAGCATTTCAAACCACGAAGCAATTATTCCACCCCATGACGAGTCTACTTCTGGCTTAAACAATGGTAGAGATGCAAATGAATCTGGAGAAAGGAGTAACGAGGAGCTTGTTCATTCATCTTTGAGCGTGCAAAGGAATGCTAGAAATGATGATGGATCTCATCATGAGAATGACGAACTCTCTGATGGAGATCTCTTAAAAGCAGAGGTAGCTAGCATTTCTTCATCGAGTCATGAAGCTATTAATTCATCTTCTGGTGAGTATGTCGTAGATCCTGATGTTGAGGAGGTCCAAGATGAATCTGGAGATAGTTGCCTCGAGCATCTTGTTCATAGGAAGTTGGATGAACGCCAAAGCTATGCTGGAAACAACAATGAATCTCGTGCTGGTAATGGTGAGCTCCCATGCAGAGATGCTCCAGAACCAGAGGAATATAGCATTTCAAGTCATGAAGCAACTATCCCATCCTCGAGTGCGAAGGATCGGAAGGAATCTGCAGGTGTTAGTCAAGAGCAGCTGGCTCATATTAAGTCAAGTGAATGTCTAAAGAATGCTAGAAGCAATGGTGAATCTCAGGCTTGCCACGACGAGCAGCTGAGCTGCTCAAATCAATCCTATTCTAGAACTGAATTTGCTTCTCATGAGAATGATGAACTCTCAGGACCAGATCCTACAAAAGCAATAGAAACTAGCACTTCAAGTCATGAAGTAATAACCGTCCCATTCTCGGGCGAGTCTGTTTCGGATCCAAATGATGACAAAGATCAAAAGGAAGAAGAAGACAACCATAGTGAGGAACTTGTTCAGGTATCTTTGAATGAAGGTGTTAATCGTGAAAATGACAAGCTCTCGAGTCGAGACCCTTCAGAAGATGAAAGGCTTGATGAGATCTTACTGTCAGGAGAAGGAAGTCCAGAAGCTGATGATAGGAAGGAGATTCATTCTAATTTAGCAACCTCAGGTAATTTGATTGCTGTAGCTACGAGTTCGATTATTTATCCCGATACAAAAGTAGGGACAAGTAATTCATCTAAGAATCTTTCTCCTCTTGCTGAACGAGCAGAGGCACCTGAGGAAACTATTAGCCATGATTTTGATCATCACATTCCTGTAGAAAATTTTGGATGTATGGAAGTGAATCAATGCTCTGAACCTAGTGGTGCCCTTCCTGGTATGGTCAAATCTTTAACAACCAAAAGTTACTTAGCATACGATGGAATGGATGATCGGTTCTCGGACCGTCATCGACGTTCATTAAAGAACACTCATGAAGCCGTGAACTTTCTTTCCACTGTAGAAGGTCCAAGAAGGCAAGAGTCGTTGATGAAAAACAACGCAGTGGTGAGAGATTCTGACATTCCAATTGAAGCAGGGAGTTCCCAGGAAATTTTGCCTCACGAAAAGCATTACGACGTAGCATACCTTGAAAGGAATGAAAACGATATGCTGCAACATAGAAGACATGGTATTTCAATGCAAAGTAGAAGCAGGTTAAGACGAGAGAAATACCAAAGTAAGTCGTTGTTGCTCAGAAGCAACCTCGAAGGTGACCGTGAAAATGGCAGTGCTTCGAATTCCACGATCAACGAGCCCCATGATTCAAGAACGCATTCATCAGAAAATTTTGTAGACCCTGATGAGGAAAAGGTTAGATTGTTGAGAATGGTTTATGAACTGCAGGATCGGCTAGAGAAAAGCCGCAATCTAAATACGAACACCGGTGGACGGGTATCCATGGGATCCGTGCAGAAGGATACATGGGCACCAATGTACAACAATCAACAGATTTCTCAGGAGGAAAGCTGGCATGAATCAGAGCATCCTTATTACTTCCGAAGAAGTGGACCTCAAACTAATTATCCCGGACAACATTCTTTGTCACGGATGACTTCTGCTGCAAAGGCTGTCAGTGGTCCTCAAAATAATTGCTTCAGCATGGAACAGTTCCCTGACAACATCCCTCCCTCGATGCAGCGGCGTTCATCTGAAGTCTGGCATAATCGAGGGGCCCGTATGGCGCATATCGATCACGACTATTATAGTCAATACAACTCATGTGCATCTAGTCCCCAACATTTCCATTGCACGCAGTTGTCTGCAAGGGGCATTCAAACGCAGTCTGATCAGTTGAGTCATGGAAATCTTGAGATGAACTATTTGAGAGAGAAAAGACATTTGGCCAAGCATCATCTACGGCCTATGGCTGGAGGCGCCCCTTTTATAACTTGTTACCACTGCTTGAAGTTACTGCAGATTCCAGCAGAATTTCTCTTGGTGAAAAGGCAATGCAGTCGGCTCAAGTGCGGTCATTGCTCGAAGGTTCTCGAGTTTTCTCTTCGGAACCGAACGCATATTGTTCCATATATACAGAATGTTGCAGAACCCCCACCATATGAGGCTGAGGAACGCAATGACTATGCAGACAGATGTGATACAACATTAAAAGTGTATCAAGAAGAGACCGATAAGTTGTCGTCCAAGTCAGTTCCCCTGCTTCATCGGCTCATGGGGTATTCTTCTCCAAGCCAAGTCTTTAGAGGTTTAGATGCATCAAGAAGAAGCATGCAGAGGGAATACTAAGGTAGTGTTTGGTTGAAAGTCTTTAGAGCTGAGGAACTGATGAAGCTGAAACGATCGGGATCTGCTAACGTTACAATGCATTACGAGCTCGACAATGTTCTCCACTCTCTCCCACGTAGAATAATGTATGTAAAAATCCATTACAGATATGAACTGAAGAGGGGTGTCAATATGTTCGTTAATAATAGAGACAGGAATCAGTTATGTAAAAGGCTATGTATATTACATTCTTGTTCATATGTAGAAGGGAAAAGACAATTGTATTTCACTAATTGGAGCAATTAACTGGTTAATTATAATTAATTTGAATACTAATATAATTTCATGTTTTAATTTAATTAAATTACGGTTTTAATTATTTCATTTTAATTAATATATATATGTTTTTTTTTTTTAATAATTTCTTACTTCTTAGTTCTTTAAAAATTTAAATTAGGAAGGTAAGTTTTATATGAAAATTACTTAAATTAAATATTCAAACTTTTTACGTTATTCATATATTATGGGATTTATATGAAAAAGAATCATATTTTTTATTTATGTTAATAAGAAATTAATATTGCGAACAAAAAAAAAAACTTCATATTATTTGAAACATTTTTAGAAAATAAGAAATTAACATCAGAATGGTTACTAAACATTTTTGTTGCAATATAATATCATAATTATAATCAATATTATGAAAATGCTAAATATAAATATTAAAAAGAAAAAAGAAAAAAAAAAAAAAAGAGCACTAAACCCTAAAAATAAGATTTGAAGAACCGGGTAGGGCCATTTTTGTAGTTATGTCGTGGAGGCCGAACCGAACCGACTCTGCGTCACTGTGACGATCGCTTAAATGATAGATCGGTCGAAAACGAGTCGATTTCCCAAAACGACGTATCGAACAGTGAATGGAAGTTTAATTCATTGGGTTTCCTGCGTCTCTTGTAACCCTGCAGTGTAGGCTTAATGTATTTTATCTGTAATTTTACAGGAATATCCTCTCTCAACCGGAAGAATTGGGCATGTTCATCATGGTCGCGCGCCAATAATCAAACTCTTATCTTCCAGGTCCAGTTTTTCCTTTCCGACACTTTGTTCTAAAATTTTCTTGGTTTTATAGTTGTAGGACTTCATTTTCTGGTGATATCTTCTTCAATTGTATGGTTGTTTCCCAGGTTCAGGTTTTGTTTTATCTTCTTTTCTGACATCTTAGTCTAAATTTGTAGTATTTCTTGTTCTGGTGAAGTTCCGGTGAAGTTCTCTTGAATTCTATGATTTGAGTTTGGTGGCTGTTTATGGTGCAGATGCAACGCTTCTTTCTCTATATGTCTGCATATTTTTGTTATGTACTTATGAATATACGTTTGCATATTTGATTTCAGTTTTCCAACTATATAGGATTTTGTATGTGTAACTTATTGGTTCCAAAATTACATATTGAAACCTTTAGTCCTCTCTATTTTTGTTAAAATAGTTATAGAATGGGTAGAAGGAAGCAAAAGCAACCTCATCGCTCTGGTGGAATAAGATTTGAAGATCCCGTGAGTCCCAAGACACAGGTTGATATTAATGGGATTGTGGAAACTGTAGAATCATCAGACATCAAACTTGATGAGGTTAATGAGCCATTGTTTGTGGAAGTTGATCGAACTGGATGGCATTCCAATGAGCACCATGATATTTCTGAAGTTGTTCTAATGGATATAAGGTTAGAACACCCTTTTGTTGGTATACAATCGGAAGAAATTTTTTGTGAGAGCTCGAGATACTCTTTAAGGTTTCGTTTGTGCAATGACAATGGATTTCTCCTTGATCGTATTAAGTTTGGTCATTGGCCGGTTTTATCTTCAAATGATATATCGTTGGAACTAATTGAGAGACGCGTAGAGGAAGATATGAACGGTTGCTCGGTGGTGTTATCAGGTAGTTTTGATGGACCTGATGAGGCCATATCTGGCCTTGTTCATCTTGCACATTTGAAGTTTGTGACATTGAGGCCAGTTATGGGTGTCTCCTTTTCCCAAAATATGGGATCTCTCCGGTTGAGGGTGGAAATATTGTCGAGTGCTTTTGATGCCTGTGGGTCAATATTAGATAGTGGTCGGCAGCTGTGGAAAAAGAGTATGATGAATACCATTGCTTGGTTGCGTCCTGAAGTAGTATCATCAGAGGTCAAGTATGGAGTTGTTGGATCAACTAATATGGACGCTCATTTGCATCGCGAGACAGGGGATGATGCATCCAGCTCCAGGAAACATGTAAATTTTGATTCTGTTGCCTTTTATGATGCCATTAAGCCATCAAAGTGAGTATAATTAGTGCTCATGTACTTGTGTGTTCTGTTTCTACTTTATAGAACGTTTACATTGTTCCCCCCAGTTTGGCACTACTGATGACATAAGTTCATTGTAGAGATGATCCCATGCTTGATGAAGACATACCCAATTTGCTTCCAAAACTAAGACCTTATCAGCGTCGTGCAGCCTACTGGATGGTACAACGGGAGAAAGGATTTTCGAGAAATTTTGGTGTGGGAGAAAACGTGCAGCTTATTTCTCCCCTGTGTATGCCCCTGGAATGTCTTGATACTCGTTCGAGAATGTTCTACAATCCTTTCAGGTATCAACTTCTTTACTTTTGAGCATGGCTTTGTGAAGTGAATAAAGTTGAAAAATATGTGCTTGTCTATGTAGTTAGGAACACCTACTTCTCCTCTTGTATTCTTACTCAAGTTTATCTCCAGTGGAGATCTTACTTGGAACGCAGAGCAAATTTTACCGCATGTTTACGGGGGCATTCTAGCTGGTAAATGCCACTAATTAGAAATCATTACATTTTCCAAAACTAGGCATTTCAGCACTTAACACTGATGCAATTAGCTATTCTTATGGTCTTTATTTTGTCTGAATGATTCGATGTTCGCAGATGAAATGGGTCTAGGAAAAACTATTGAACTACTGGCTTGCATACTTTCTCATCGGATGTCGGTGTTTGAAAGTGGAAAAGGCCTTGATGATGAATTGCAACCTCTTGTTGGAGATCAGAGAACCAAATTTAAAAGATTAAAGAGGGAGCGTGTTGAGTGCGTGTGTGGAGCTGTTAGTGAAAATCACAGATACGAAGGGTTGTGGGTTCAATGTGATATCTGTGACGCATGGCAACATGCTGACTGCGTTGGTTATTCACCTAAAGGAAGAATTCTCGAACCCGTTGACACTAAGGATGGGAACTGTAGAAAGGACAAGAGAAATAAAAGGAATACAGTAAATGTAACTGTTAGAGATGAGGAACATGTCTGTATGCCATGCTTAGAGCTGATGCAGGCTACTGATTCCCCAATGACTACAGGTGCAACACTAATTGTCTGTCCAGCTCCCATATTATTCCAGTGGCATGCCGAGATTTTACGGTATACTCTTCGATCGGATGTCTTTGTAAAAATATTATCCATTTTGACACTAGTTCACTTGAAAGTTTTTCATTTCCACTGGTAGTGCAAGCTGACTTTCCATTGTTATTTATCATCCCAGTCATACTCATCCAGGTTCAATAAAACTACTTGTATACGAGGGAGTGAGAGATACTTCTCTTTCAAACACTTCGCCTGTGCAGATCAACGATATCATCAATTCTGATATAGTCTTAACATCATATGATGTGCTCAAAGAGGACCTATCCCATGATTATGATAGGCATGAAGGCGATCGACGCTTCATGAGATTCCAGAAGAGGTCTGTTCTTGTCTTGCTGAGGAATGTTCCTTATATTTATGTAATTGCTTCTTTCTTACTTCATAATTAGTCCGTGCAGGATTTTTGGTCAAGGTGTACCATATTCTTTAACCAATTGCTTCTAGAGATGCTATCTTTTTATATCCTCGACATATGAGTCGTTATGCCCTCAATATCTGTGTTTAACTGCATGCTAACAATTTGACTGTGTGTATTGGTATGCCTGTGTTTCTACTTTCAAGTTATCTCGAGTTTTTAACCTGATCGTTTCCTATTCGAAATAGCATTTTTTTTAATTCTTTTGGCAACCCGTTTTCGTACCTCTTAAATATGACCACGATGCAACCTTTATTATGCTATTCGATTTATTTTCATTCATGGAGATTAGGGGAAATTTCTTAAGGAAATATTGACGTGTTCTCTTTAATGCAGCTCTCATTTGAAATTGCGAAATTTGACTATGCATGTGGACTGTTTATTTTAGGTACCCTGTTGTCCCGACTCCTCTCACCAGGATCTTTTGGTGGAGGATTTGTTTGGATGAGGGACAAATGGTCGAGAGCAATGCTACTGCTGCTACAGAAATGGCTTCACGGCTTTATGCTAGTCACCGCTGGTGCATTACGGGGACTCCCATACAAAGGAAACTTGAAGATTTATATGGACTACTGCGATTTGTGAAAGCAAGTCCATTTAATGTTCACAGATGGTGGGTTGAAGTTATAAGAGATCCTTATGAGGTACGTGGCATTCATTGATTTGTTCAATCGTATTAGGGAGAAAGAGTAAAGAAAGAGAGACAAAACGCCACACAAAACCTTTGTTATCACAACTCATTCTTAGTTTTTTTGTACGTTCTCATTTATTACTTCTTCTTTAGGTACTCTTTTGGGATTGCTTAGCTATTTTTTACGCACGTTATTGTTCATTTTTGACATATCGGGTTTCTTTATCTTTCACTGACGACTTTTGCAGAGAAGGGATCCTGGCGCTATGGAATTCACACACAAATTCTTTAAGCAAATAATGTGGCGTTCTTTAAAAGTACACGTTACAGATGAATTGCAGCTACCTCCTCAGGAGGAGCAAGTCACTTGGCTGACGTTTTCACCAATTGAAGAGAACTTCTACCAGAGGCAGCATGAAACTTGTGTGAGTTATGCCCGTGAAGTTATTCAAGGTTTGAAAGATGATTTTGTCAAAAGGAAAGTCCCAGGTTGTTAGTGGTTGATTATGACTTCATTCAAGAATCATATTTCTTTGTTCATCACTATGATCCACATCATAAGGGAAAAGGTGGTTATTATGACTTAACATTATTGTACTGCTAACTTTTTTCAGGATTTGTCTCTTCTGATGTTCCATCTGATATTCTTATCACCCATGCCGATGCTGGAAAGCTGCTGAACACACTTTTGAAACTTCGCCAAGCTTGCTGTCACCCACAAGTAGGAAGTTCGGGACTTCGCTCATTGCAACAATCCCCAATGACAATGGAGGAAATTTTGATGGTATTCCTCAAGTAAAGATACGAGTTTTCACGAAATCTAGTGTAAAACTTTACTCTTAAGTGGTTTCATTTCTCAGGTCCTTGTTAGTAAGACCAAGATAGAAGGAGAGGAAGCTCTGAGGAGGACAGTTGTTGCTTTAAATGCACTTGCTGGAATAGCTATAATCGAGAAGAAATTTTCTGAAGCCCTCTCACTATATAAAGAAGCTCTGGAATTGGCAGAGGAAAACAATGAAGATTTTCGCGTAGATCCTTTGTTGAGCATTCACATCCATCACAATCTTGCTGAGATACTACCATTAGCCATGGACCAGATACAATCTCCTTTGAAAGATCAATTTTATCCAAGAACGTGTGAAGTGAAGGCCTCCAAGATGGATGATTCTGAAAAGTCCGATAATCATATCATAAAGAAACAAAAAGTCAACGGAACCCTGTATGCTCCTTGTAGTGATACCGAGAAGATCATCGACAGTCCTCTTGAGCTGACAGGACTAGATGAGAACGCCAAAAAGGAGGAGAATTACGAGCCTCATCGGTCAAGTAGTTACTTCAATGATAATTATTTAAGAAAAGCATGCGAGGCTATGAGGCAGAAATATCTAGCTGTCTTTTCCTCGAAGCTATGTATTGCCCAGCAAGAGTTCACAAAGTCCTACGTACAGGTATGTTTCTATGTCCTGCTAACTTACTTTAGGCTGTCACAATGTGTATCATCATTCATGATATAGTTTTGTGTAATATCTTTTTACAGTAAAAATTGATGGTATGCTACCATTATGGTCTACTATTGAGTTGCTTATTGATCCTTTTATTCTTTGAACACTAAAGATGTAGTTTATTTCTTTCCAATGGATAGAATTGATGTATGTTTTATTAGCAGCTACCTTAGTTTGTCCAGCCATTTAGTGATGATATATCTCTAATTTCCATGCCTTATTTTTTCAATACAAAATGAAGGTCTGCAATGAACTCAAGAGCAGGGAAAATCTTAACGAAGTTTGGTGGTTACAAGCAGTTCACCATGCTGAACAGAACAAGGACTTCTCGCACGAGTTGATAAGAAAGATTGAAGAGGCTGTATCTGGAAACCTTAATAATTCGAAATCTAGAGTGGGATCCCGGTAAATGATTACAAACTCTATGCGTTCTGTCATGAATACAAATTATTTTTTATGGTATGTATATTGCATGAATACTAATGGATTTTTTAGCTTGATAACAGTTTCCGCAGCATTGATGCTTTGAAGTATCATGTTCAGACTGGTTTGGACCTTTTGGAAGCTTCGAGAAAATTGGTGATCGGTCGACTTTTAGAAATTGATCAGACCATGGAAAGTCCAAAAGATGAAGATATTGAACGTGTTCGATACTGTCAAAATTGTCAGGCTGACAGTAATGGACCACCTTGTGTTCTTTGTGAACTAGACGAACTATTTCAGGTTCTTCTTCCTGATTAGACCAATTTCCTTGATGCTTGCTCTTTGACTTGCATTATGAATATAAGCTCTCTTATCTTTGTAGGAATATGAGGCAAGACTTTTCCGGCTCAATACAGTACAGGGAGGAATGGTTACTTCTGTTGAAGAGGCAGTTGAAGCTCAGAAGAAGAAGTCTGCACTTAATCGTTTTTATTGGAGTCTATTGCAACAAAATAAAAACTTAAGTTCATCTAGAGATGGATATGAAGAATCTAACAAAAGAGATGCTGGAGAAAGAGTTGTGGTTTGTTTTTCTTCTTTCCTTACTTTTGTCTTAGAAGTGCCTCAGATTGGTCACATCTGCCTTATGATATGATAATTTAAAGTATCTCGTGATGGAAATTGTGAGCGGTTTGATTTCTTGGCATTTTTTCTTTTTAATATGGCTTATTATATGCAAGAAACCTTATTCAGACTTTGTTGTTCTGATTTTTAGGTGTCTAAGCATCCTTCTGAATTGGAGGTTGTTCTTGGTGTTATCAAGAACTTCTGTAAGACACAGCTTGGAAAAGAAAGTATAGCAGCAGCCAACAAACAGCTACACCTTCTGGAGGTATTATTTGGGTATATATTTTGTGAGAAAAATGCCCTTTTAATGTCCTATGTCGATTCTTATATGCTCAATATAGGCGTAAATCGTTTCAAAATTTAAGGATAATTCATGTTCTTGGATTTTTCGTGCATTGATATGAAAACCTACTGGATTTTTAACCTTGGCTTGATTGCTCAATTTGTCTAGTACATGCGAAAGGAGTATGGACATGCAAGGTCCTTAGCCATTGCTCAAGCTCAAGTTTTGAATGCTCATGACGAAATTAAGATGGCAACCACGAGATTATGCTTAAGGGGCAATGATGATGACGACTCAGCTTATGCTATTAGTGAGCATGAGCTTCCTGCAGCTAGTGTCCAATATTCTAGCAATAAGTTCGTGTCCTTGGCTACGTTATCGCGTGTCAAAGGGAAACTTCGTTATTTGAAGGTTAAAACGTTTACCGACTTGTTTACTGCATTGAAAGTTTCATATTTAGAATCGTTATGAGTACACCGTGCTTAGGCCTCTGATCCAGTCTTTTTTTTTTCTTGTTTTATCACCTTTCCATTCGTATTCTAGATCGTTGTTACTCATAATTTCTATTGTTTCCAGGGTTTGGTGCAATCTAAGCAAAACATACCATTAGGTAGTTCTAGCAATCCAGCATCAACTCAAGTACCGGATATCACATCTACATCAGTGGAACAAAAAAGTGAGAACACATTGAAAGCTGATGAAGAATCATGCCCTGTTTGCCAAGAAACACTAAGCAATCAAAAGATGGTTTTTCAATGTGGACACATGACATGCTGTAAATGTTAGTATTGATTTTTACATCAGTGCTTGTCTTTTGAGTATCCAGCACTAAATAAAGCACCATGCATACCTAAAAGCCCCCTTTTCTGAATGCTTAGTACATTATATATTGTAACTTGTATTGGCATTTGTTTCCCACAGGTTTGTTTGCAATGACTGAAAAGAAATTGCGTGATAGTACAATTCAAACCAAATGGGTGATGTGCCCAACCTGTCGCCAACACACAGATTTCGGGAATATCGCTTACGCGGATGATAGTAAAAATGAAACACTCGATCCTTCAACTTTGCACAAAACTTCCAGGGAGGATGAAAGGTCCATTAGAGTTCAGGGTTCCTATGGAACAAAGGTTTGCAGTCCTACCTAACGCTTCTTGATTCAATTTACTTTCATTCACAGTTTAATTGTGTGAGATCCTACATCGGTTGGGAAGGAAAACGAAGCATTGTTTATAAGGGTGTGAAAATCTCTCCCTAACATACGCGTTTTAAAACCTTGAGGGAAAACTGAAAAGGGAAAGTCCAAAGAGGACAATATCTACTTGCGGTGGGCTTGGGCCGTTACTAATGGTATCAGAGCCAGACACAGGGCGATGTGCCAGCAAGGAGGCTGAGCCGCGAAGGGGGTGGACACAAGGCGGTGTGCCATTAAGGACGCTGAGCCCCGAAGAGGGGTGGGATTGGGTGTCCCACATCGATTGGAGAAGGGAACGAGTGTTAGTGAGGACGTTGGGCCCCTAATGGGGTGAATTGTGAGATTCTATATCGGTTGGGGAGGAGAACGAAGCATTCTTTATAAGAGTGTGGAAACTTCTCCCTATCAGACGCGTTTTAAAAACCTTAAGAGGAAGCCCGAAGGAAAAAACCTAAAGATAACAATATCTGCTAACGGTGGGCTTGGCTGTAAAAATTGCGTCCTTGTTTTGTTTATTGTCTTGCTTGCATGTTTCCCTTTAGATGTTCCCATCCTTATTCGGTTGGATTTGTTTATTGCGTTAACTCGTTCACAGATGGCTCCATTTTTATGCTGTCACTTCTCGAGTTAAGGTCCTTCAAACAAAAAAATATATATAGAGAGAGAGAGAGAGAAAAAAAACTTCATCATATTAGTCTTTGTATTATTTGTCCAATTGTTTTTCTGTCATAAATAATACTTGCTATCTACAACCTTCTGTAGATTGAAGCAGTTGTAAGGCGAATTTTGTGGATCAAGTATACAGATTCCGAGGCAAAAGTCTTAGTTTTCTCTAGTTGGAACGATGTTCTTGATGTTTTACAATATGCCTTTGCTGCCAACAACATTACCTTTGTCAGGATGAAAGGAGGCAGGTGAGATGATATCAGATGCAGTACGAAAATTTGAATAGATCAAGTTCAATTGTGTACCGTACCTTTTCTTTCCAAATCTCCACTCCCTTTGCATCATCAGCAGTGGGTTTTTTTCTGGGGGGCGGGGTGGGTTGTGGAGCTCCGTAGCAGGTTAGTTTACTGTCAAAGCGGGCTAGTCCCCAAAAATGCTTGTTCCTCTGATGTTGGGACTGATAATTCACCTTGTGACTCATTTCTCGGTCGAGCGTTCTTCAGATGTCGATCATTCTATTACAGGCCGCTCTGTCATTGTGTGATTTTTTGTAACTACTTTACGTTCTTCAACGTTATGCTGTAATATTGATGATTGGATTTTGCAAATGCAGGAAATCTCATACAGCCATTAGTGAATTTAGAGGACAGAAGATCAATGCAAAAGAAAATCACAAGAAACAGCCATTGGCAGAGGTTCCAGAAATAAGATCTGCTCAGGTTCTATTGCTTTTGATTCAGCATGGAGCTAATGGCCTGAACCTTCTAGAAGCTCAACACGTTATCCTTGTGGAGCCACTGCTCAATCCGGCTGCAGAAGCGCAAGCAATTAGCAGGGTACACCGAATTGGACAGCAAAATAAGACGTTTGTTCACCGCTTCATAGTATGTACAGCTCCCTCTTTTTACAGTCCAATAGAGTTTTCACCAAAGCACACAGTTCAAATGGCAGACATATAATTAAGTTTTGGGTTCTCTTTTTGGGGTCATTATAGGTTAAAGACACAGTGGAAGAGAGCATACACAGGCTTAACCGAAGCAGAGAGAGTTCTTCCTTCATCACTGGAAATACAAAGAACCAAGATCAGCCCGTTTTTACGCTTAAAGAAGTCGAGTCTCTGTTTGCATCCAGACCATCACCATTGAGGGAAAGTGATGAGAAGGAAAGTGAAACGCTAAGGCATTTGGCTCCTTCCATGGCTGCTACTATTGCAGCTGAGAGGAGACTCAAAGAGCATACAACGTAGGATGTTTTATTCATGGATTCTAAATTATGTTCCTTCTTTCCCTCTCATCAAACATGGGAAGTCGCTAGAATGCCTTTCATTTGTAAACTATTAGGATCGTGTACATAATGGAAAACAGTTCAATGAAGACTAGAAACCGACTGATTCTCAGTAAATTAGCAATACCAAAGGAAATAACAAATAAAACAAGTTAATACAATGGATTTCTCAGTAAATTAGCACTTGGAAATCCTACAGTAGAGAACCCTCTACGTAAATGTAACGACGTGGAGCAGGATTACAGACTGTAGCAACCAGTGTCGAGGCAAAACAACTCTAGCTGCTCGGTAAATTGTTCCAAACAATAACATTTTCGTCGGCTGAAGAGACTCAACAGAACTTCCAATGGTTATTGCAGTTTACACAAGTTACAAAGGTGGTCATAGGTTCATCAGCACTCCGCGTCTGCAATTGGTAGTAGGTTGTTTTTCGCTGACCGCATCGACCACACTTGAATTGATCGGTAGTAGCTTTTGGAGCTCCTGCACGCTCACAATCGAATAAGGCTTTCTGTTCAATCTCTTCATTTTCACGTTTTCTCTGGTCGCTTGCCATATCAGCTGTGCTCATATTGATCAGCCTTTCTGGCTTTATAAGTCCAAGAAGAACTTTTCTTCGAAAGTCTGGGTTCTTCGGATCCTTGAGGTTAAACATTATAGATCTGTACTTGGTCTTCTGTGAGCCAGTAGAACCTCCCCAATTTTCAAACATCACGGATTCTACCGAAACAGCAACCCGAATCGGATCACTTGCATTTACTTCATCCATAACATCTTCATCAGCCTCACTAGGAACTTTGGAGAAAGCCTCAAAGAGAAGTTCTCTTATTTTGTCTCGAGCAGCATCTTTTGATTTAATCATGGAAGTAAGCTTTGGAGGTGCATCAGGGCCACTTGATGGTTTCTTTTCTATTGAGATTCTCTTCTCTTCTTTAACTATCCTTTCAACCTTGACCACTGAATCAGTTTTCTCAACCTTAACAGGGTTTTTCCCCGAGATGTCGCTTTCCGATCTGGAAAATTTTGCAGAGCTTGTGACACCATTTCTATCAAATTGCTCGACCTGGGAAACTCTCTCAACCTTCATGGAAGATGATTTTCTAAACTTCTCCACCTTAACGGACTCCGCACTGGGAGAACCAATTTTAGGCGACTCTTCACAGTCGATGTTCCCATTTTTCTTATTCTTGTTAGTATCCTTGATTACTATTTCCTTCCATATCTCAATCAGATCAGAAGCATAGTTCTGTATTTTCTTCTTGGGGTGCTTAGTGAGGTGCCGAAGGCGCTTCCCGACCTAAAGAAGACAAGATACAGGAGCTATCAACGCTGGCAAAGTGACCTCAATTTCACAGGAAAATGTCATAGCAAGACATAAATTATCTCCCCAAAACTTAAAAGGGTCACAACTTATAGATGGCTTCGTTATATGGATGTGAACTCAAAAAACACAGATGAAATAGAGTGAACTTGCCTCGTCATGAAACCAATTCGTAAACGAGCAAACAATGAATTTAGGCTTAATTTATGATAGAAACCATGTATGATTTATGAACAAGTCGGCTGTTTACATCTTCACTATCCATCTACCATCAACAAAAGAAACGAATTTGGAGTCAAATGAGAAGAAAACCTGAGTGGAAACAAGGATTTGATAAGTAACAGGAAATTTCTTGAGCTGACGTAGGGCATCTAGGCAACGACTTTCTTCGGCTCCCCCATCATTCGATGGTGCTGCAGCGGCGTCTGCAGCCTTCTTCGCCGCTTCAAATAACTCCACCAGCTCATTCTCCATCGACTCACTGCCAACTTGGGATTTTTTATATTATCTATCCAACACATTCGAAGAAAAGAATAATCAGGTCCCAACAACAACAAGAAAACGGAAAGGTACAAACATACGCATACAAAATCGGGTATTGCAACCAAACTCGCATTTGACCTCGTTTGTCAATGAACAAGCAAAAGAATAGCACGAATTAAAAGACATTCAACTGCCGATGGCAAATAATCGATATCGAATGAGTATCATCACTTACAGAGAACTGAATCGCCAGCAGAAAACCGCTCGCAATCCCACAGTAAATCAAAGAAAACCAAAACAGAAAAGGGGAAACTCAACCACAATCGGCTACAGGAAAAACCCCCTTTTCAGCAGAGAGACGGCGGAGGCAGCAGAGATAAAAATTAACCCTCGAGGAAGAAGTAGATGAGCTAGATCCGACGGACAGAGCCGAAAAACGTGGCGTACAGGATAATGGTAAGATCTACCCATTTATCCATAGACTGCGAGAGAAGAGGATGGGGTTTTTGGCAACGACGTCGTTTTCCGGATCATCTCTCGCCAATTCAAGGCAGTTTTATCGCATCAAGATCATCGAACTTATTACATTTTTAACCTTTACAAATATGCCCTTTTTCTTTTATATATGCTTAAAGAATTATGTGGACAAATGTATTAAAGAATTCAGCATCGATAAATTTAAAAGTATAAAAAAATTTAAACCTTATAATATATACGTTCATATAAATCTAGTTTAGCTTAGCCAATCATATTATGACAATACTCTAACAAATAATTAAACTTAACCACTACTTGATTCACCTATTCTATATGTTTAAACAAATTTGAATTTATTTCTGTTTTTCAAAAAATAAATTCATCTCTCAAAAACTAGTCTCTACTCAGCCAAAATAGAATTTAAATTCTTGATTGTTCAACGAAATTCTTTTCCTAAAAAAATGTGGAAATTTTATTAAATTTTTAAAATTGTTTTTATAAAGTAGACAGAAGCTGTGGTCTCTGAGGCATGGGAAAAGGAAAAGGTCCTAGAAAATAGAAGTAAATAGGGATAAGAAAAAACATCAACCACACTTGAAAACGATAAAATTCCAACTCAGTTTAATGAAAAACAAAGTCTATTACAAAACATGTTATTCCAATGAACTCTGCAGTTTACCCATTTGCGGCAATCAACTGATACTTATTAACAAAAAGCTGGGTCGAGTCAAATAACAATTTATGCCTCTTGTGGCTTGTCGAAGAACGTTTTCTTGATCCAGTCGAATGGCTGCACAGGGTTTTTTCAAAAGAGAAAAGGGAATGGTTAGATTCGAAACATATTAATGGTACTAAGAAAGAGGAATGATTGTATACACTTAATTCTCTACAGATAGATATATAATGGTACTGAAATCTCCAGCATAACACAAAAAAGAAAAAACCCTTTTTATCAACAAAGAAAATAGCACGGTACAGAATCAGTTGAAACCAACTGTTTGAACGAGAATGAATATTTCAAAACTCAAAACAATTTAGTTTGGTTGCAGCCTCTTGAGACAATTAGGAACAATGTACAGAATTATGTCTTTTTCTAGCACACAGCATAGCATTTCCAATTGAGATTGACATTAATTGTTAAAACTTAAATCCAATTGTATGGGCCCTATCAGCTTTGGCATGAGCCCTCCAATTTTGGGGATTCCTAGAGGAAAGTAGAAAGTGGATAAAACATATGATTGGTTGATAGAAGGAAGATCAAATTTGAGTTTGATAATAGCAGAAATGCAGTGTGGTCTTCACCCTACGGAGAGGCTTATAAAGCCTCCTATGCTAGAAAGAAACATTGTAACATTGTGAGAGAAGGTGATTCGATAAAAAAATGAAATAGAAAGAACATGTTTTGAGCATGCCAATACTTAGATACAAAATGAGTGCCAGATCCAAGGAGTGATTGATAGTCTTGATGGCAGTCAGGATTGGGATTTTGAACGGCAGAATCACTGGAAATTTGCACCAGTTACTGGAAAGTTCACTACTGGATTAAACCAAAGGTAGAAGCCAATTACAGTGATGAAACTATGGGACGAGGGAAGGACTGTAGAAACAGCAGGTAGAGGATCAAGACTATTCCACAGGTAGGATCGCCAGCCTCCGTGAGTAGCTACAAGCTCCATAACATTGAAGTTAATTGAACTTGGAACTGGATTCGGAAGTATACCACACTTTCGATGTGGAACCAGAGAGTGTGATCATGGGGATGGCAAGACGTCAAGCCACAGATAATGACCTACTACAAATTTTTAGAAACACGAGAGATTCAAGGCCTAATATGGTGTTTTATATAGAGAGATACGACGTTACTTGAACAAGATCTATATTGAGACATTCAATGTAAAGCAACTACATCCAAATGTTGTCATTCTATGAAAGGGCATGTCTTTGGCGGCATGGTTACTTCATTCTGATCCCATCGGAGAATGTTTTGAACTTCGAAGAGAAAATAAATCTCCTAATCTTTGTTTTCAATTTGCTTCATACTAGAGAGAAAAATAAGAAATGATTACCGAACACATAGATATACACACAAATATGCTTTTCGAAAACACGGTGTGAAGAAACCCTGAGAGGCTTGATAATTCAAAAAGAGTTCCGACAGGGCCAGTATAATCTTGTGCTCGATCAATGACGAAAGAGAAGAAAATAGTAAAAGAAAACAAATATAAATAAATAAATAGCTCTCTCAGATCCTCACGATACGTATTGCCCATAGACACCATAGATCATAGGAACACATTTCTTCCAGATCTCAACTGCGAATGGCCAGCTGAAAATGATATCTAATCCCGTAACCAAAATTAACGCTGGTGGCAAAATAAGTCAAAGATGAATTGTGAACATAGAAATCACAAACACGCTACGGTAAATCGTCCAAGACTAGAAATAGAAATCGTTAACGGAATCAAGAATCAACTTTCAAGAAGATCGATGCATCCTTTATTCTAACATAGAGAGTCAAAAAATTCACTACATAAATCTCCGAAAACCAGAAATAATAGTACAGATCAATGAATTTAGGGAAGGAGAAAACCTGAACGACCCACAGAGCAGTTGTTGCAGCGGCGACACCCCAGCCGGCGGCGGCTTGGATGTCCGTGGATTGGAAACGGCGTCCCGGGCTCAAGAACTTGAACAAAGTCGATTCACCTGCCATTTTTTCTCTCTGAATTCCTCTTCCAATTCTAATGGTAAACCTAATACAAAAACCATCAAGTTTTTATAAGAAGAATTCGGTTCTAGCCACCATATCAATCGGGAATCAATTTTCGACC